ACCCTGAAAAGCCCTAAACCCTAAAGGCCATAAACCCTGGAAAACAACTAAACCTTTGAAAGAACAACACTAAACCCTAAAAACACTAAGCCCTGAAAACCACCTAAACCCGAAAAGCCCCCTGGACCCAAAAAAAAACCTAACCCTTAAAAACCCTAAACCTAAAAACCCTAAACCCTCAAAAACCTAAACCCTGAACACCCTAAACCCAAAAAGCCTAAAAACCCTAAACCCTAAAAACCCTAAACCCTAAAAACCCTAAACCCTAAAAACCCTAAACCCTAACAAACCTAAACCCTAACAAACCCTAAACCCTAAAACAAACTAAACCCTGAACACCTTAAACCCTAAAACCCTAAACCCTAAAAAAAACTAAACTCTGAACACCCTAAACCCTAAAAGTCCTAAAAACCTAAACCCTAGAAAACCTAAACCCTCAAAACCCTGAAAACCCAAACCCGAAATTGACAGCGACCACACCGATCCAAAAAAAAAGTTTTCGGGATGAGGCGGTCCGTTTTTGAATCTGGACGCCATCCTTTGTTTGAATGCCGCCGCTGTGTTTTTGACTTTTGTTTGCTGAATGTTGCCGGTGTTTTCTGAATGTGGATTCTCTCATGGACGGACTCCACTTGCAGATCAGAGAAGCAGTCCTGCAACTTGGCGAATCCTTTGGCCAAATGCCTAGCGCAGCCAAGCAGCATGTTTGTTCTCTGGGCAGGCCCACAGCATGCTTCATTGCTCAATCTTTTTGGCAAGACGGCAAGCCGGCAGTCCCCATGCGGCGACATGCGGCGACGGCAAAGAGCTTTGTATCAGCCGTGTCGCTCAAATAGCTCTGGCAGCGCAGGCACAACCTCCCAGGAACTCTGGCACTTAGCCCACTGGGCTTAACAAGCTAGAGAGCTCTGCCACAGACGAAATGACAAAGTCAGGGCGAGCTGCCTCCAGCTTTTCTCGAGACTGCGTCCCGCTGAGCACTGCCACAGTCCAGGTGCTAGCATTTTTGCCTTCCTCAACGTCCACTTTGGTATCGCCGATCTTTACCACCCTCCTGGGGTCGTCAATGCCACATTTCTTCATAGCTGTGTGGATCATAATAGGGTCGGGACGTCCCGCGCCAAGCGCTGCGGAGGAAAAAAATCCATCCACCGACCACCCCAAGTTCTTCACAATACTCTGAACAACATGCTCTGGGAAGCCCGACCCCACACAAATCCTAATGCCGCGCCGCTTGAGCTCTTCAAAGCATGCAGATGTGCCCGTGATCTCACTATTGATGCTGCAGCTCAGCTTCTCAAGCTCAGCCTCAAAAATCTTGTAAACTGAGTCAACCTCACTTTGGTTGACGTCTTCGCTCGGTACACCTCTAGTTGAACTGATGAGAAGCTTTAAAGCTTCTTTCTTTTCATAGCCACGGACCTCGTTGGCTTTGGCGAAATCTACCGCAGTGCCGTCATAAGCCTTCAGCGTTGCACGAAATGCCGCGATTACCAGCGGCTCGCCGTCCACAAGGTCATTCACCGTGGTGCCAGCCATATCAAAGACCACGAGTCCCACATCAGGCGGCAGGCGTAGAGCAAATGCTTCATCCACCGCCATCAGTTCAGCTCCAGTTTGCTGGCAGACTTTAAAAAGGGCTGCACCCTGCAACTCTCCTGTTGAAGCCTGGCTGCCTATGCCCTCTCTGTGGGCTGTACAGAGTCCAATGACACAAATGGCTGTGATTTCTGAAAAGTTTGTCGTCAGCAGCTTGACAAATAACGCATGAGTGACGCATCAACTAACCTGTAGGATTAGCATGTTGGTATGCTTCGGTTGGCTGTAAACTTGCGGGGGACACTCGTTTGAGCTGACCAGGTGTGACTGCTAGAAATGACCGGCAGAATCTGAATTGCAAGTTCTCAATGCGAGGTCGCACCCGCCAGTCCCAAATGGATTGCTGGGATTGAGCTCCTGCAAAGCTTACCAAGGGCATGTTTATTGATGGATGGATGGATAAGGTTCTACATGGCCAAGGTCAGAGGAGCAGCAAACTGCCGTTGGGATAGTCAGACTGCTGGACCCTTCCCTTGCACAACCCAGTCCTCAGCATATTTGCCCGTCAAAAAGTACGCGCTGATGGGTTCAATGTGGCTGGCAAGATGCGCTCTGCTTCAGACATGGCAAATGGCAAATCTACCACGCTGACATCATCAGGGCTTCAATACCAACAGGCACCTCAGGCACTGAAGCCCGGCATTCATGAAGCAGGTGTTGCCCATGTTCACTAGGCCGACCAAGCCACCTGCAAATCGGAACTCCAAAGTGAGGCCCGAGCACCACAGAGAGCTGTCCACCTCTAGATTTGGAGATGTGAGCCTGGTTCTTGCCCAGCCTGGCAGCGCAGGCAGTGGGTCACCCAGCAACTTCAAATTCAAACTTCAAGGCGCAAACGAGCGCTTCCATTGCTCTGCGGGTGTCCATGGCACCTCGGCAATCGTATGCTGCAGCCAGGACACGGGAACGCTGACCTTGTGTCTTAGCGCATCCTTCAGTACAAGGGCCATCACCAGGTCCTGCGGTGCTGCGCCGCATGTGAAAATCCTTGGTACCTTCCATGAATAGGATGAATACGTCTGATGACCATCACAAGCATGGACAATACATGGCCATGGCCTGCCAACTTCCGCCCCTGGAGCTGGAGCTTTGCCTCGGGATGGGCTCTGCTTGGCTCAGGACCGGAATTACGGAACGAGAGAGGGGAAGGCAAGAGGGACTTGGATAGACAGAGAGAGAAAGAGAGAGCACACCCTGCAAAGGCAAACGCAAGGGGATAGACGTGTGGAAGCCCCTGCATCATCCTCCATCCCTGTCCCCGATGAAGCAGAATATGCGTTGAGTCTTACAGGGTAAGAGTGTTTATTGTTATGTTGTCCGGTCTTTTTTGGTGTTTGTGCTTTTCGGTTGTTTTTGTTTTGCTGTTCAGGCGGGTGCGTGTTTTTTGCTGTTTGGGC